GAGGAGGAGGAGGAGCAGGAGGAGGAGGAGGAGGATGGGGCGGGGGAGGAGAGGAGGAGAATTAGGCGAACAAGAAGACAAGCAGGAGGAGGGCGAACAGAGAGGCCAGATGCCTCGTGAATGTTCATCGGAGTCTCTTCGGATCTCTCTCTCCTGTAGGCCTGTTGGAGGGCCTTGGGGGCCTCGTGGCGGGCCCCGGGGCCTCTTGAAGCATCCGGGGGTGCCTCGCAGGAGCCTGTTCGGGCCTCCTTGGGCGTTTCCGTGGGCACTCTGGGGAGCCTCGGGGGCCATCTCGAAGGCGAGACCGATCAAGGCAGGAGAGGTACCAAGTAGGACCCTCCCCCGAGGAGGCGAATTAATATTGGGCCACAGCCTCTTTGTTAAATCAGCGATTTGGGCCTACGCGCCAGGGCCACCCTGGACGCTCTAACCCGCCCCCCCTGTCCAGGTCCAGGGGGAGTGGGGGAGGGGTACCCTCCCGATGGGGAACAAGGGATGTTGGAAGAAGAAATTTTCAGAGGCGTATTTTTCCAACTATTACTTTAAACGAGTCGTGGGTGGACAAAAAAAAAAAACAATGTCCGCCTGGGCCCCCGTCGGACGAGCGGAAATGCGAGCGCAATGGCGCACGCGGTCGCGCGCGACCCGCCGCTAGTAATAACGTGAAAGAACGGGCGTCGCGGCGACGACGGCAACGGCGACGACACCGACGGCGGCGGCGACGACGAACATCGCGGCGACGACGGCGACGGGGCCCTGGCCTACGGGCGAACTTGCGCCCCGCCCGCGTTCCTGGAGTCCCTCGCCCGATTTCATGGGAGGAGCGAAATTTCTGTGCGCAGTTTCACCCCAGCCGTCTTTCCGCTTTAATTCCCCAACCAGGGCTTGCTTTTGTAGGGGTCCCAGCGGATTAAAGGGTTAGGTGAGGTTAGTCGCCGATTTCGGTGGCCGGGCCCGGGTGCCCGGCGGTGCCCGGGTGCCCGGGTGGCCAGTGAGGTGCGTGGCCGATTTCGGTGGCCGGGCCCGGGTGCCCGGGGGTGCCCAATAGCCCTATAGCCATATAGCAATATAGCCTTGTAGCCCCATAGCCTTATATCCCTATAGCCCTAATAGCCTTATATCCCTATAGCCCCATGGCCCATATAGCCCCATAGCTCTATAGCCCGATGGCCCTAGAGGTCACAGTCCTATAACCCGATAGTCCGATAGCCCTATAGCCCTATAGCCCGATAGCCCTATAGCCCGATAGCCCTATAGCCCTATAGCCGTAAAAAATATGATTGGGTCTTTTCTCCGGTACCATCAGAGTTCGCTTATTGCTTAAGTAAAACGTCGTTTCTTCGGAATGTATTGAGCGGCGCGCCTTTACTAAAGCTGTTTCCTCGTTTCAGTAAAGCCGCCTTCTCGTTTTTAGTAAAGTTCGCGGCCTGCCTTAGTAAAGCCCTGCGGATACAGTGGTGATGCGAGGACAGGGTCCGGTCGGGGGGCGCGGGACCCCTGTCGTCTTTGCCAGTTCACCCCGCGATGAATTTCTTTGAGTAGACACGGTCGCGATGCATCGGGTCGCGGCGATCCATGGGCATGTTTTCAGTGAGTTGTATATGCTCCTTGACAGAAGATTCCGGGCGCGAGAAAAGGACGTGGCTCGGAAATTCGGACGCGCCGCCGCGGTTGTCGCGCAACAAAGCAACAGCCCTTGACTGAAAGGCTTGTCCCCTTCAAAATAACAGTGTCAATTTTTCCGCTTCCAGAACTCCCAAGTCCACTGGCGCGCTGAAGGGATGGCGGGATGGCGCCCCGCCGCCCACGGAGACCCAACAGTTGCCTATTTGGGCCCTCTTGGGGCGTTCATGGTGGGAACTCTTGGGGGCGTCTTTGGCCACTCGTGGTGCTCTTGGGCCATCCTGGAGCCCTTTGGGGGCCCCTAGGAGCCAATCGGAAACGAAAAAAACGCGCGTTGTGTGGTCGCTTGGAGGGGGGGGGTTGGAACCGAACCCCCCCCCTTCCCCTCCCCCCCCTCCCCTTGTCCTCCCTCCCTCTCCTCGGGTCGGAGCCTGGCGGCCGCGGCGGCGGCGGGGACGACGACTTCGTTTTCTGGGCCGGCGCCGGCGCTTGCGGCGGCGGGCGGCAGCGGCGGGGAGCGTCGACGATGACGACGACGATGACGACGACGACAGCGACGATGACGCTCCGCCACCGTGCCTTGGTTTTGGGTCTGAGTCCTACTTGATGCCTTTAGGGGTCCCGTCGGAGGCTTTCGGGGGCCTCTGAGGGGCATTTGTGCAGCCTCCTGGTCGCCTCTTGGGCGTCTCTTGGGGCCTGTCAGATGTGGTGGTGGTGGCGGTGGTGGGCTGTGGTGGTGGTGGGCTGTGGTGGTGGTGGTGGCGGTGGTGGTGGTGGTGTTGGTGGTGGTGTGGTTGGTGGTGGTGGTTGTTGTGGTGGTTGTGGTGGCAGGTTGTGGTGGTGGTGGCGGTGGTGGTGGTGGCGGTGGTGGTGGTGGTAGTTGTGGCGGTGGTGGGTAAAGATGGTGCTGGCGGCGGCGGTGGTGGTGTGGTGGTTTGTCGTAGTGGTTGTGGCGGTAGTAGTGGTTGTGGTAGTGGTGGTGGTGGTGGGTTGTGGTGGTGGTGGTGCCGGCGCTGGTGGTGATTGTGTTGGTGGTGTTGGTTTGTTTTGGGGGGTGGTGGTTGTGGTGGTTGTTGATGGTGGTGGTGGTTGTGGTGGTGTGTTGGTTTGTGGTGGTGGTGGGTTGTGGTGGTGGTGGTGGTGGTGGTGGCGGTGGTTGCGGTGGTGGTGGTGGTGGTGGTGGTGTTGTGGTGGGTGGTGGTGGTGGTGGGGGTGGTGGTGGTGGTGGTGGTGGTGGTTCGTGGTGGTGGTGGTGGTAGTGGTGGTTTGGTGGTGGTGTGGTGGTGTTTGTGGTTTTGGTGGTGGGGGTGTGGTGGTGGTGGTGGTGGTTTGGTGGTGGTGTGGCGGTGGTAGTTGGTTGTGGTGGTGGCAATGGTTTGTGGAGGTGGTCTGGTGGTAGTGGTGGTGGTGGTGGCGGTGGTGGTGGTGGTGTGGTGCATTTTGGTGGTGGTTGTGGGTTTTGCTGCTGGTAGTGGTGGTTGTGTTGGTGGTGGTGGTGGTGGTGTGGTAAGTTATGGTGGTGGTGGTAGTATTGGTGGTGGGTTGTTCTGGGTGGTGGCGGTGGTGGTGAGTTGTGGTGGTGGTGGTTGTGGTGGTAGTGGTGGTTGTGATGGTGTTGGTGGTTGTGTGTTGGGTTGGTGGTGGTTGTGGTGGGTTGAGGTGGTGGTGGTGGTAGTGGTGGTGGTGGCGGTAGTGGTGGTGGTGGTTTGTGGTGGTGGTGGTGGTGGGTTGTGGTGGTGGCGGTGGTTTGTGGAGGTGGTGCTGGTGGTAGTGGTGGCGGTGGTGGTGGTGTGGTGGATTGTTGTGGTGGTGGCGGTGGTGGGTTGTGTTGCTGGTAGTGGTGGTTGTGGTGTTGGTGGGGTGGTAGATTGTGGTGGTGGTGGTAGTGGTGGTGGGTTTTTGTGTTGGTGGTGGTGGTGGTGAGTTATGTAGTTGGTGGTGGTGGTGGCTGTGGTGGTGGTGGTTGTGTGGTGGGTTGGTGGTGATGGTGGTGGGTTGGGGTGGTGGTGGTGGTGGTGGTGGTGGTAGTGGTGGTGGTGGCAGTAGTGGTGGTAATTGTCGCTGCGTCCCCGCCGTCGGCGTTGCTAGCTGCCGCCAGCGCCGGCGCCGGCGCGGGGGGGGGGGGTGGAACCCCACCCCCCCTTGGGCTGCCTCTGGTCATCGTCGCTGCGGCCTGCCGTCGGCGCTGCTGGCGGCAGTCAGCGCTGGCGCCGGCGCTGAGGGGGGGGGGGTTGAACCCCCCCCCCTTGGGAGGGGAAGGTTTCGGGAGGGGGGAGGGTTAGGGGGGAGGGGAGTCCTCCTGGTTCTGATCGACGGCGCCGAGTTTTGGGGGGGGCCCACCCCCCTGTTCGAGAACATCAACGACAACGAAGTGCGTTGGGTATTGCAAGGGTTTGGGCTTCTCGGGCGTTTCTCCGTGGCCACCAGGAACCGCATTGGGACGGCCATGGCGGTACGCAAAGTCATGTTGAGACATTTTGGGCCATATTGTGCGTTCCGACCGATCGCTTTACCCCCCCCTATCCTTAGACCGACGAGACCCATCACGTAGCCCCCCACCCAAGGGGAAGACGGATGCTGGAAGAGCGAACTCACTGAACCGCTTGGGCCCACAGGGCTGCTGGGATGTCGCGCGCACTGTTCTCGAGCGGTCTTCACCGCACTCGAGGCGATAGGGCGTACTAGAGAAAAGTCAGTTCGTAGCTAGTGGGATGGTGTCCTGTTTTTCGTTGCGGCTGCAGCTGGCCTGGACCGCCAGCGAGGACCCTCTATGGCATTGCCCGTCGGAACCTTGCCCCAGACATTGACGGACTAGGTTGGGAAAAGGTGTTGCCTTTTTGTAGTGCATATGGCTGGGTTGGTAAGGAGTTGGGCCACTTGATTGAAGAATTGGATTGGGAAAGGTGTTGATGTTTTGCAGTGTAGATGGCTGGGTTGGTAAGGAGCTGGGCCACTTGAAAATGATCTCCAGGACAAGAGCGATTCGCTCCAGGTGCACGGATTTGTCGACTCTTTTGTCGGGGGGCCCTTCGGAGAGATGGATCAATCAACCGGGGAGATTGACGAAGCGGCAGTTGAAAGAGGCGTGGGAGGTTGCAAGAGTTGGCTTGATCAGTCATGTTGCGATTATGGACGGCTTTCTCTTGAAGTAAACAAGCCAGTGAAAGAAAGACAGGGTGACGGAGAGGGAGTTGAATTAGCAACTAACAGTACTGAAATTCTCCGCTGGTCGGCCGATCGGCGCCAGAGTAGCCACCCGTTTTTTCGAGCAGGACTCGCATCGAGCCGTTCATTTCAAAGAGTCAGCGGGGTCATCCCTCCTCCCTGGTTCCTCTCTCAGCTGTTCCTATACTCCCCAATCGTCGTCCTCAACCCCCATTTCCCCCCACACTTTTGTGGGTCGATATCCACGCGGTCGTTTCCAAAGGTTGGTCGTCGCTCTCCTCTCCATGCCTGCAGAGTCTGATGGATCGACACAGTCGGTCCTTCATGGTCGTGATGGCCCCACCTCCGTATTGAAAGGAAGTCGATGGTGCTCCAAGGGAGCAGGCTCGCCGCTGCGTTCTGTGCAGTACGTACGTGCTCGAGATCACATTGAGGCCTTCGGTCACTGCCCGTGCCCTCGCTGCCCCAAGCGTCGACGGATCCCTCGTCGCCGTCGTCGTCGTCATACTCTTACTCGTTCGACTCCGCGTGGTTGAGGCCAGTGGGACCCCCTCCCTATGGACCAGTGTGGAGCCGTTCAAGGGGCCTCCTTCTATATACCCTCTTCGACCCCTTCTGACTCTGGGTCCACTGTTAGCCCTCTCGGGGCAATATCTGGATTCTCTGACTGCTCTTCTGGCTCCTGCTGGAGCTTTGTGGAGTCTTCTCAAGGCGCTACAGGAGCAAGATTTGGTAGTCGTTTTGTCTTTGCAGGTATTGGCTCTTGGGTCACGCAGAAGACACTTCAGTACATCACCAGCACCATCATAGCAGGTCTTGCCCTGTGAGTATAAAACACATCGTTGTGTACACGGGATCGTTGCCCTGGGACCGTAGATCTTTGATTGAGCGAGGGTTGGCATGGGATCGCAGATCCACTATATTTTGATGGTCGTAGTAACAGGATCCGGTGATGTGTTGTCCACATATCGTACGTGTTGGAGCTCCGGCGCACAGTGTTCTACGAGGAATGTTGGTCCATGGATCCAGCAGGATCTGCGACGCGTAATGTTTGCAGACGTAAGCTAGACGTGGACATACAAGCAGACACATAATCAAATTCGGTCGATGGAGAAGTAAGCGAGAGAAAGGACATGCTGAATGGAGACACGCAGAACCGTATCATGCACACCCATCGTTGCCAGCACCCGTCAGGGCACGTCGAGCGCGTTCAGCCGGCAGGCAAAGCGGCTGCAGTGGGAGATGCGGTGGCAGCAGTGCCTTCCCTTTCATTATGTGCCAAAGACTTCGACATTGCATTCAGGTGGAAGATGGAGATGAGGAGGGTTACCGAACGGGAGTTGTTCCTGGAATTTGTTTGCCCTCCCGATGGACTCAAAGACCCCGAATCGGCTGCACGCTCGATGCACAGGGTGTATCTGGGTCGCGGTCTTATCGCCCTGAGATGGGTGAGATAAGCATGGCATCGTTGTTGCCTCGCTATCCCCCTCCCAATCCTTTCCACCATCCTCCTTCTGTCCCTTCCCCGTATCCTGTCCCTTTCTCATTCGTTCCCGGCGTCCTCCTCTCCTCCGTCCTCCCCCCCCTTCTTGTCATTGCCCATGTCCCTCGAGTAGTGGCATCGAGAGCCATCCAGAGGACGGCGTCCCTGGAAGTCCAGACCCTCTCCCCAGGGTCGGTTTTTCATCCTGAGTCGTTTTGTTGACGGTCCCGGGGCCCGACGAGGGCCCCCCGGGGGCCCAAAAGACGGAAGAATGTGCCGTCCCGATGTTCTCACGACGCGACCGTGTCTGGGAAGCTGGTACCCGTGGAGGCGAGAACCGCGCAGCTTCCATCCTCCGCGGGCCAGTAATTTTAGCTCGTCCCATGAAGAATTCACCGGATCCCCCCCAGAGGCCGCCCCCGCTCGGGCCCATTTTTGGCGCCAGCTGGGCAAGGGCTGGACGCCGGCTGGGCCAGGGACCACGGCGAACGCTTCCAGTCGGGAGGCAAGAAAACACACAGACACAGTGAGTCGTCGATCCATAGGAAAATATTGGAAGTGGGGGGGAAAAAATTGAAACCCAGAAAATTGGGGGAAACATGGGGAGTCCAGTTCTGTGTGTATTTATGTGTGTGTGTGTGTGTGTGTGTGTCCCAGGGCCCTTTTCACTCACGAGGGAAAATGCTTAGCCGCTGGTGCTAGGCGCGAAGAGACCAAGCCGGCTGAGTACAACACAAAAGCATCCCAGCAGCGCCTGCAGCCTCAGGGGGGGCGTCAGCGTCGCTGGCGGCGCTGACGAGAACGTGGAGGTCAGTCAGTAGCTATCGATAGTTGCTGCGACGAGTGCTTTGTGCACCAAGACGGTACGGACAGCTACTCCAACAGGGACAATTTTGCCAGCTTCGCCTAGCTTCCACCATCGTCGATGTTCACGACGCGGGTGGTTCCGCAGCCGTCGGCCATGTTCTCGGGACATGTGCATCACCGCGGGAACTGGCCGCTAGTCCCCCAGGGCGCCGAAAACACAAGCACATTACCGTAAGGCTCTCTGCGCGATGGTTGTTTTGTTTGGGGCGTGTCATTCTTCTCTTGCCCTCTTTTTGGGCGTTGCCTTCAGTCACGCCCAGGCACGCCAGACTGAGCCCGCGCTGGGCCGCACGGGGTGTCGTCCAATCGCTCGTCCCTTCCCCTATCCCCTCCTCCTCGGTCCTCATCTGGCGCTCCTCCCGGCTACCAGGTACCGCGCCGCCGTCCTTGCTGTCTTACTGGTCGTCTGGGCCATCGGCCTCGCAGTGCTGCGCGAGCACGCGTTCGGCTACCTCGCCGCCACCTCTGCGGTCGTTCCTCCGAGCAAAGAGGATGCAAGAGTGAGATGTTCGTTCGCGGGACCTTCTTGGGGGCTATTTATCAGGGGCAACGATAGGGGGGGATAGGCACAGGGGGGGGATGCATCGACCCCCAATCGCCCACTGATCGCCGATATGGGCCTGATAGCCCCAATTTGCCCAGGAACGTACGGATTCATTATTGGGGTCCCATCGCCGATCTATTGGCTATGTATCGAAGATTCCAGTTCGCCCCCCTTTCTGCCAGTCCTCCCCCGTACTGTTGCCCCTCAACCTAACTGGTCTGTTCGATTATTTGTTGAATATAGTGTGGTTAATTCGAATCTAGCTCCAGTCAAGTTCGACTCAAGGACGTCCCAAATTCCGCTCAAGGCGACGGACGTTCGACGCTGCACCGACGCTTGAGAGGAGCGAGTGGCTCCAGGAGGGTCCCCAGAACGAGCACCGTACCAGAGCGCCAGCGGGAAGAGGGGCACCAGGGGAGCGGGAGCAGGAGGATTAGGAGGAGGGGGGGAGGGCCGAAAAGTCTACGAAAGTTCGGGCGTTCCGGTGGATGCTGGGGAGTTGGGGCGGGGGAGGTGTACAGGGCCTCGGCGATTCAAGGGCTTACGCCGCACCGCCGACCCCCTATGGGGTCAGCCGGCACGTCCCGCAGACTCTCGTCAGTGGTGCGCCGCTTGTCGCAGGCGGGTCGCGGGGCGAGGCCGACAGCGAGAAGACTCTGCTCGTTGTCGGCCTCGCCCTGAAGGAGGAGGAGGAGGAGGAGGAGGGGGAGGGGGAGGAGGAGGAGGGACGAGGAGGAGGAGGAGGAAAAGGAGGAGGAGGAAAAGTCGGACTGCGACACCCAGTTTCAGCCACGCCACCCCAGGGACAGTGTGTGCCCACTCGGCCCCCGTCACTCGTGTTCCAGTAGTCTTAGGACAAGCCCTTTGACATGCGCCTTGTTCCTTGGTCCGAGTGCTTGGGTGTTTTCGTCGGGTCACTCAGGATGTGAAGGGGGAAGAAAGAAGAGGGCAGACGAGGGGAAGAAGAAGAGTAGGAGGACGGCGAGGATAGCCACCGCTATGATGCCCAGTATGCAAAGTATGGGGTTAATGTCTCTCTTTCTCCTTCTCTCTCTCTCTCTTCCATTACTCTGTCTGGCTAGCTGGCTGGCTGTCTGTCTGCCTGTCTGTCTGTCTATCTGTCTGTCTGTCTGTCTGTTTGTCTGTCTGTCTGTCTCTCTCTCTCTCTAACTCTCTCTACCTCTCTCTCTATATCTCAATCTCCCTCGCTCAGACTAGTTCATACAGACACTCGCGATTCAATTTAATCGCTTTGCTCAGTCCGCTGGCCTCTATTGCATCTCTGTTGCCATCTGTTGGTGTGCCCATGGCAGGCGAGAAGGAAACTAGGGGACTCGAGAAGGGAGGAGGAGGAGGAGGAGGAGGAGGAGGAGGAGTTGGAGGAGGAGGAGGAGGAGGAGGCGAAGCAGGAGGAGGAGGCCTCTCGGCGGCGTCTTGACGCACTGTGGGGACCCCACCGGGTCGCGGACAAGACGCTTCTTTGGAAGGGCTTGGGATCTCTTGGGGGTACTCTCGGGGGCCTCTTGGCTGCAGTTTTGCGACCTCTTGCAGTGGGGCCTCTCCGGGCCCCGTGGGGCATCCTTTGAGGCTTCTGGTGGCCTCTTGAGGGCGTCTTGGGGTCCTGCTGGCGGTCTCGGGGGCCAACTTTAGTGGAATGCTCGATCTGTCTGTTCGGGTTCCCTCTCTTAGGGCCCTCATTGAAGCCTCTGGAGCCCTCTGGGGAAGTCTCTTGGACCGTCTTGGGACACTCCTGGGCCGTCCTGGGAGCCTCTTGGGCTGACTTGGGGCGATCTTGAAGGCCTCTTGGGTCGTACTGGGCGGTCGGAAGCTCGAAAAGGCGGTAACGCCAAAATCGCTGGAACAACAAAAAAACTCCGCCTCCTCTTTCTCCTCATCATCAATCCGTTGCCATGTTGGCCCAAGTTGATCTTGAGTGGGCAGCCTCACTTGCAGGCCATCCTGTCTGTCGTGAGCAGGCGGACATGTTTGGCAATCGTTTCCCTACCAGTCTCGTGCCATGGCGCTCAACGTGGGAGCACCACCAGCAGATCAGCCAGATGTCGTTGAGGGAATCATGGCCCGCTTCGCCACGACGCTGGAGGCGAACAACAAGTCGTTCCTCGAGACGGTGACTAAGGAGATCGGCGCACTCGCACAGGCGACGAGCGCGCAGCTCAACGAACACAAGGACCAGATCAACAGCCCGGTCCTGACGGTCAAGCAGCAGGGCGAGCAGCTGATGGCGTTGGCAGCTACCTCGTCGGCATCAACTACAGCCAGCTCGGTGGCATCCTCGGCGACCCAGGGTGTCAGGGAGGGCCCCAAGATGAGGAAGCCTGAGTAGTTGGTAGACCCACGCGTGAAGTACATCGGCCCTTGTCCGGGGCCACTCCTAGAGAAGCCCAGGCGCGAGTTCTACGAGTTCTTGAAGGCCAAGTTCAGCAGCATGCTCACGGATGATTTCATCTCGCAGTATCACGCCGTCAACACCAACATCCGCCTGACTTTCAAGAGGCAGGAGTACGCGAACAAATCCCAGCAGGAGGCCAACGCCGAGGGCCTCGTGTGGGTAGACATCAGGGACAACGTGCCCCACCATATCGGAGTGAGAGGCGACATGCTTCTCGACGTACGCATGAAGAAGAGAGCGTTCTCAGTCCTCTGGCCGCTCATGCATGCCAAAGTCTCCACTCACCGGAACTGGAAGAAGGAGAACCGACTTGGGGTCAACGGCCACATGGACATCCTCCAGATCACGGGTGACGATGTGTGGGAGCTGGTCAAAGCACGAACGACATCGCAGGAGCAGTTTCTTTTCGGTGCCAGTCACCAAGGTCTCAGTCAGTGGGGCATCGCACCCACGCATTTCACGGAGATTCTCATGCAGGCGCAGTTGACGGTGGCACATGAGCAGTGTTGATGGTGTTTCGAGCTAGACGACGGCTACGACCGCGATCCCCCCTGTTTCTATGACGACACGCTTTCTGGGCATGCCCGCCAATCTTCCCTGTTCGCTTGCTCTCTCCGGTGCATTATGTTTGCCTCTTCCCCTCCTCTTGCGAATGCTTCTGCCACGTGTTTGTTGCAGGTCAATTTGAATGAGTGTCGACATGAAAGTGAAGTTCGCATCGGTTTTCCCAGTGAAGTAGACCCGCCTGCCTGCCCCCCTCTTACGCCGACCCGTCTGTTGCCGAGCCGCGAGCCTACCGTCTCCCAGAAGTACTTCCTTAACCGTCCCCTTCGAACCGTGTCAGGTTGTCCAGCGTCATGATCTTGCTTGTATCCAGGAATCGCACGGACATGAAGGGGATCACCAATACATCCAACAAGAATGCAAACCACATTACGTCCTGGACTCATTCTGTGAGACGTCCACATGCGGTGGTCTGCTTATCCGCGCATCGCACGGTCTGCTCGACAGCTTATCTGATCTTGTTTGTTGTTTCATGAACCCAGGAAAGATTGCGTCGCTCCTCCTCACCTCGCAGCAGGGCAACTTACGGATCGCGAATATTCGCATCGACCCTGAGCTTCCTGAGGCGGCGGTCCGTGGCAAGATTCAACGCGTTGCGAATGTCCTGGAGCCCAGAGCTTGCGCCTGTGCGTTTATCCTGGGGGATTTCAATTTCCTGGGAATGGGGGGCGTCTAGATATTCGCAGTATTCATGGGTAGAGAGGGCCCTGGCGCAGCGGCTGGCCAGTGCTTCTCAGCATTTCCCCCCTAGCTCCACCGAGCCTGCGCAACCTCGCCTCGCCCATCGCGCCCCCCAAGCTGATCATCTGACGTTTGCTCGGCCAGATAGGATCCATTCGGACGCCCCTCCCTCTGACGTTCTCGAGTTCTGTTTGGCCAGTGGCGCGGCGCGGGGCGCGGCAGACTCGTCTGCGCCGAGCGTTCACACCCCCGTCTTCTTCACGACGAAGCCGCGGGCCCCTGCCGGCCCTGCATCTATTCCATCGCTGGTCAGCAAGCACCCAGGAGTTCCGCGGTTTTGTCTCCGAGCTGATGGCAGGCAATATTCTGAGCGACGATCAAAACGAAAAAGCTCCAGGAAGTTCAACGCATCATGCGTGCCGATGCTGCCGCGGCCAGGAGATTCATCCTCAAAACAAAAGCTACCAACGCCCAGGAAACAATCGCACGCTGCCTGAAGCTCATACGTTGCCGACGTGGAGGACGCCACCGAGGCGCCCGTCCGGCTGTTCACGCCAACCTGTTGCTCGGCGAATTCACTGACTCTGAGCTGCGAGAGAGGGCGAACTGTGAGGCCAAGCGCCGGCATATTGAATCGTCAATGCGAGAGTCTCTCACGGCGAAGGAAATCAACGCTGCCCCTCACGTTCCTAATCGCGACCATCACATCCAGCGGCTCGGGAGACTTTCTCAGGCCTGGGCTAGGACATGTAAGCGAATAGTGATTGAAAGCGGCCCTGGACCCAGATGGCCGCCCCCGCTCGGGCCCAGGTGTTGCCGCGAAGCTTCTCGCGGATTAGCGGGGCGAGGTTTTCTCTGGGAGGGGGCGGGGGGGGCATCTACGGGCAGGGACCTGCTGCACCTGGCCGAACAAATCCCCCAATACCCATGTCAATATACGAATGCCACGCATCGGGATGTATCCCGGGGGCGGAAGGGGGGGGACCTTGGGCCAATTCAGAGGTCTTGTGAAGGCTCGAAGGGACTCTCAACGCCCGGACCCGGCGGGCCACCGTTCTGCGCGGCGGCGCGCCGGCGAAGAAGTGCAGCAAGTGCTGCGCGACCATTGCCCCTTTTATTTTGCACGGAGGCAAGCCAGCTGCTGATGTTTAACCACTCGTCTCGTTGTCTTTCCCAATGGAGATGTTTGGGAAGATGGGCCCGCCGCGGAAGACCCCGCCCACGCCGGGCCCCTCGACCTCTTGAACACCGACAGCAGAATTGCGGCAGACCTGATTGCGGAACCTATCAGCCGCGTCGCAGAAGAGCGCGTCGATCCTGCTCAGAGAGGAATTGCCCGTGGCAGGAAGACGCTGGACATCATCATAGAGA